TGAGACTATGGTCTTGAGCCCCCATACCCAGCAGCTCATTGCCTCAAGGTGTTTGGTTATGCTCAAAAAGTTTTCATATTTTTGTCCCTGCATGCTCCATCCCATTCATAGGTGTGTTTGTAGTAAAGGCAAATACCCATGTACAAATGTCCCCTACAGTGCCATACCAGGCTTCCTAGTGAGACTAAGACCAGTGCGTATTACTGAAAGAACTTGTCTACAGCTGTCCACTGATTGAAGAGACAAGTTTTAATATATTTAATATTTGAAATAAATCCATGAATGCATGAATGACATGAAACCTTAATAACTATATATATATATATATATTATTTTGCTTTGTATTTATTGTACTAATGAATTCAGGCTTGGGAATAAGGGAAGAGAAACAAGAAATGCTTTGTGGAGGAGGTAAGATTTGAATATTGCTGTTGTTGTTAGGTGCCCCAAATTGAGTCCAGTTCATAACAACCCTATGCACAACCGAAGGAAACACTGCTATGCCCAGCATCATCCTTATAATTGTTTTTATGCTTGAGTCCATTGCTGTTACCACCATGCCACCGTAGCACTCCATCTTGATGGGGGTCTGTCTCTTTTTCTCTGACCCTCCACTTTATATAATATGATGTCCTTCTCCAGGGACTGGTCCCTCCTGATAATATGTTTGACGTATGAGAGATGCAAGGTCCCTTTGAACCGAAAGGTTGGTGGTTCAAACTCACCAATGCTCCTCAGAAATCCAATCAGTGGTGCTATTAGAACTGACTCAACAACTATTAACAACAACAACATGGACAAAATATTGAATGATGCAAAAAGCATTTAAAAAGTGGAAGGTATACATAGAATTACTGTATCAAAAATAAATGGTTAATGTTCAGCCATTTCACGAGGTATGATAAAATCAAGAATTGATGATATTAAAAGAAGTCCAAACTGCACTGAAGGCATTTTATATAGACTGAAAAAATTCAAACTATTTTCTGAATTAAAAAATTGTGATTTGAGGATATACAGTTTTTTAACATACAGAAATGTCTATAGCTTTATGAATTTCTTTTAAACACACAATTATGTTGCTATCAGAGAGACTTTGTCTCTTTCAGTTTTGGAGTTCTGTTGTGGGGCTATAGGATAAGCAATGGACCATAAGGTCAGTTTGAATGGTAAGGTATACAGTTCAAACTCACCAGCTGCTCCTCAGAAACCCTATATAGGGTCTCTGTGAGCCAGAACCAACTCAACGGCACATAACAATAACAACAATAATCTAGGTGAAGAGATCTTTGAATGGTGAAGACTTAGTAAATATTCTATGTTAATTATCTGATTTAAAGAAACATCCTCCAGGATTTCTACAAGGGTTTTACCTCCAGGATATTTTGTTTGTTTGTTTGTTTTTTAAATCAGCCAATTTACACATAATATCCTGGTGTGGTGCTGTGGGCTAATGTGTCAGACTGTAATATCCTGGTGTGGCGCTGTGGGCTAATGTGTCAGACTGCAAAGTCATTTGAACTGCAAGGTCCACAGTTCAAGCTCACCAGCTGCTCCTTGGAAACCCTCTACAGGGTCACTATGGGTCGGAATGGACTCGATGGCACTTAACAACAACAACAATACTCTTGGAAGAAGTGGGCTCTTGGTTTCTGAAAGTTTTTATTCTGATTCTGCAATAATAACATATGGGAGTCCTAGTGTGATGTTGCAGGATAATGCACTGGATCATCAGTTTGAACCCCAAGGTCGGCAGTTCAAACTCACCAGTGGCTCCTTGGAAACCCTATACAGAGTTGCTATGAGTCAACACTTAACAAAAACAACAATATATGGTATCAAAAATACTTGTGTCATAGATGACCTTCTTTAAATGTATATGTCATGCCTCACATAGCAATTAAAAATGTTCGTATTCATTCTGTGTATTGATTTTCCCCTGAATTTATTAAAGAATGAAAGAGTATACCACTGAACCATAGTGGAAAACACACAAAAACCCTTGGTCCTCAACTGCTATTCAATGCAACTCTCATGCAGATTACTTGAGGTAGATTGTAAAAGTAATAGCTTGAACATTTTCCACCAAAATCATGTCTATTTCAGGTTATCAGAAATCTTTAACTTTACATCTAAGCTATGCTGCTGGATGAATTTCTCTCCTCTGAATTGTTCTGGAAGAATCCAGCCTCTTACACTGCTGTTTGTTGTTAGTCAGTACCGACCATAGCGACCCTGTGCACAACACAGGGCAACACAGCTCGATCCTAGAACCACTTCACAATCGTTGCTACGTTTGAGCCCATTGATACTGCTACTGTGCCAGTCCATCTCATTGGGGGTCTTCTTTTTCTTTAGCCCTCCACTTTACCAAACATGATATCCTTCTCCAGTGACTGGTCCCTCCTGACAATATGTCCGAAGTATGAAAGACGAAGTCTGGCCATATTGGCTTCCAAGGAGCCCTCTCGCTGTACTTCTTCCAATATACATCTATTTGTTCTTTTGGCAGTTCATGGTACTTTCAATATTCTCCAACACCATAACCCAAATACATCAGTTCTTCTACGGTCTTCCTCATCCACTATCCAACTTTTGCATGCATATGAGGTTACTGAAAATACCCTAGCTTGTGTCAGGCACGACTTAGTCCTCAAACTGACATCTTTGCTCTTCAACATTTTAAAGAGGCCTTGTGCAGTAGATTTGCCCAATGCAATACAAAGTTTGATTTTTGTCATTACTGTTCCTTCCATTAGTGTTGATGGTTGATCCAAACAAAATGAAGGCATTGACAACTTCAATATAACTCCATTTATATGGATGTTATTTATTGGTCCAGTGGTGAGGATTTTTGTTTCCTTTACATTGAGATGCAACCCACACCAAAGACTGTCTTTGATCTTCATCAATATATTTTAAGTTCGCTTGGCTTTCAGCAAGCAAGGTTGTATCATCTGTATATCGCAAGTTGTTAATGAGCCTTCCTCCAAACCTGATGCCACATGTTTCTTCATATAATCCAGCTTCTCTGATTATTTGTTCAGCATATAGATTGAATAAGTATGGTGAAAGACTACAACCCTGATATACACTTCTCCTAATTTTAAACCTTTCAGTGTTCCCTTGTTCTGTTCGAACAGCTGCCTCTTTGTCTATGTAGAAGTTCCTCATGAGCACAATTAAGTGCTCCAGAATACTCATATTTCTCAATGTTGTCCATAGCTTGTCATGATCCACACAATTGAAAGCCTATGAATAGTCAATAAAGCATAAGTAAATATCCTTCTGGTATTCTCTGCTTAAGCTAAGATCCATCTGATACCAGCAATGATATCCCTCTTACATTAGTGATTCATTTTTATCATCATGATTGCATGTTTCCACATACACATATTGTTTAAAATACAGAAGAAAAATAGTAACACCAATAAAGAAATTATGAATTATGGAAATTCAGGACACAGTGGGGAAATACAAAAAACCTATAAGGTCAGTTTGTTCAAAGAAAAACTTTTCCTACTATTCTGAACACTCTCATATCTTACTATACATATTTTGACATTTGCAACACACCATAGTTAGAATCTAGGGAATTTTCCTTTGGGAGACACAAGGTTCTATTTCACAGGGAAGAAAGGTTTGTGAGGAAACTTATGCTCTCTCTAGATCCTTTTCTTCCGTTCAGAAATCCCTACCTAATAAAAACAGTATTGGCCAAATATGAGATCATGAACCTACAAGAAGAAAGATTGCTAAATGGAATAGTGTTGCATTTGAGGAATAGTGTTGTATTTGAGATGTCCTTAAAGCTATAGGTTGTTGTTGTTGTTAAGTGCCGTCGAGTTGTTTTCGACTCATAGTGACCCTGTATAGAGCTTCCAAAGAGTGGCTGGTGGGTTTTAACTGTGGACCTTATGTGTTTACCTTACAGCATCACACTTGTTGTTAAGTGATGCAGAGTCAATGCAGACCTGACCCATAGTGACGCTTTGTAGGGTTGTCGAGGAGCAGCTGGTGAGCCTGAACCACCGACCTTGCAGTTCAAACGGCTTTGCAGTGTAGAGCATTAACCCACAGCGCTATACCAGAACTCCACAGCATCACCTTGTTAAATTGTTGTGTTGTTAAGTACTGTGGAGTCGGTTCCGACTCATAATGACCCTGCATAGGGTTTCCGAGGCTGTTAATCTTTACGGGAGCAGAACGCCTCATCTTTCTTCCGCGGCTGGTAGTTTCGAACTGACGACCTTGAGGTTAGCAGCCCTACTCCTAACGACTACGCTAGCAGAGCTCCATAGATAACAATTCAAGGCGTGGATTAAGATGACAAACTTGGGTCTCTAGTCTTCCAGTGAAGTGCTCCCACACTTAGGATGTCTGCACTCGGAGTTTCCAACTGGTTCTCAGCTTGCATTCCCAATCGACTTGCTCTAGGGCCAAGTCAAATTTCTTAAAGAAGGGTAACTTCATTTTCTCCACATAACCTAGGGGCCACATAACATCCCAGAACTCTCCCCTTCCAAAATATGCCGAGAAACTACTCAGAAGTGTCCATGGGAACTAGCCCCTTTTGAACTGCATTTGTAGCTGCCAAGGAGCAACCAACAAGCACCAGATTTATGTGCACTTTGAAAGAAGCACCTTCACCATTGGCTTTTTGAGCGGCACTGTCGCTAGGGAGCGGCGGGCAAGGCAAGACAGCGGCGGGGAGAAGCCCGGGCTGTTTGTTGCTTGTAACCTGGGTGAGGGGCACACAGCCTCGCGCGCGGACACACACAGTGGCGCGCTCGCCACGAGTTGGCGCCCCTGGGTCCCTGAGCGTCCCGGTCCGCACCCCCTTCCCTCCCCCGGCAAGGCTCCAGGCTGAGTAGCACCTCCCGCGCTCGCCTCCGCTCCCCAAATTCAGCGGCTGCCGCCCAGAGAAAAAAAACCCGTCTGCCTCCCATTTCCCCACGCGCTGGGCGCTGCAGCGGAGAGCCAGGCAGCTGGTGCGATGAATGAGTTCGCTCCTCGTCGCGGAGTTGTCTGAGTTGGCGGTGCGGTCCCCGCGCTTCCGGCTGTCGGCACCCTACAGGCTTGCGGCTAGCGACTCCCAGGGCTACCGCCCACGCCAGTGGCCCAGCACAACCGCGGATCCGGGGCACCCGAGGTACCACCGAGCTTGTGTCCCGGCCCCAAGTGCGGGGAAAGGAGGGTCGTCCCTGGCGGAGGCGCCTGGCCGCGCAGCTTTCCCGCACTGCCTCCGCAACCTGGTCTATCTCTCCATGGCGTCTCATCAGCAAACCCGGATCCAGGCTTACCTGGAGAAGAACAAGATCGGTCCCCTGTTTGAGGTAAGGCTCTGTGGAGGAGTGAGGTCCCATTTATCTTTGGCCAAGAGGTGCGGAAACAAACCCAACCCTCCCCCTCTATCCCCCCGAGGGAAGGACAGCTAGAAAACCAACACGCTGGAGGAGGCTTCCGTGTCTCCAGTTCACTGGCGTTGACTCCACCCGACCAGGTGTCCTGGGCGCGGGACAGGTGAGTTCCGGAGGCCTAGCCTCAGTTTGGCAGGATAAGTTTGAACTGTCTGAGTGTCCTGTACCCCACGGCCACATGCACAGGATCCAGACTGATTTAGAAAGGCGATGCGCTTGGGTGGACACACTCAGACGACGGGACACACGCACACACTTTCTTCCTGGAATCAACACTATTTTTGTGGGTGGATTTTTTTCTTTCTTTTACTGTGGGCGGTAATAGACCTCAAAAGGTGGAGGAGGTGCTTAGCAGTGGGACGAATACGATTAAATGGAAGAAAGATGAACTAGTGAAGAGTAGGCTTCTAGTACGTGCGGGCTTGGAATTGGCCAACTGAGTGACTAATACAGGTCTCTGGATGGAGAGAGGAACCTTTGCATTTCAGAGCCTTGATGTGTTAGGATGGAGAAAGGGGCGGAGATACGTTGGAAAATCACATACGTATAAATCGGAAGGACACGTTAGCTCTGAGCTCTGTTCTCCCGTTATCTGAGAATTATGACAGAAATCCAGAAAGAGGAAGAAAGAGCGGGAGGACAAGAAAAAATAAGAATGGGAGATTGAAACCCAGCTCGGGCAAAGCGTCCCGCGGGTTGCGAGGGTACTGAGCAGGGCTGCGCAGTCAGTTGCTAAGGCTGGCAAGGAAGGACGCCCATGGTCCCTTATCCTCCCTGTCCAACAGTTCAGCGGAGTATGGTCCCGGACCGGATGGCTCTAAGCCCCTTCCTGAGAGGAACACAGATGGTGGTTTGGAGGGATTCACTGCTTGCGGTTAGTGTGCAAGGCTGAAACACCAGAGTTGGACTATGAGGCTCTGGGGATCATGGAGAATGGAGCAGCTTCTCTGGAACTGAAGAGAAGAGAATGAGAACTGCAGAGAAAAATAATGCGAATTAATACTCCTAGGTCTTCCCCTCATCTCCCACACTGTCAAAAAAGAACAAAAACAAAAAACAAAAAATAGGGAAAACCAGGGTATCATCAAATAGGTCTTTTTTCTTATAATAGAGGACCACTTCAAATGACCGAGATGTTCAGGGTCTCCCAAGTTTCCCACCCAGCTTCAAGTTAACATTGTACTGTCTTAAAAGATACGATCATTAAAATTCATTGTTGTTTAGTGTAGCAAAATCCTGGAATGACTTTGGATTTTGTTTCTGGCGAAAGTGTTAGGAAATGAAATCAATCCAAGAATAAAACACAATTGCAAACAGGCTACATATAGTTCCATACAATTAAAAAGCAGACATCGTATGAACGTCATCAAAGTAAACATATATATTTTTAGAGATTTTGTTTGCTGGCTACTCTCCTAGCATATAAATATATTTTGCCAGGAAGAATAAGTGAATCGCTTTTCATAGATGCTGTTCACATTTGTTCAGTTGTTTTAAAATTTCCAAGATTATTTTCAATTGGTAAAATAGAGTTTGAAATATACGTAAACTTTCTACACAATTAAAAAAGAAATCCTATTTGATATTTATCAAGTGCTTTTTTTAATGTTCACCACATAGCTCACACTGATTAATTTTAAGAAATGGAATTAATTAAACTTTAGCCTGCTTCAGCAACAGACAACAATTATATGCTTTATTTCATCAAAGTTTCCAGTGACATGTACCCTCCCATTTGCTTGGATTGCAGTGATGATTAATTTTTAAGGGTTGATGTGCACTTTACATAATTGAAGGGAGAAAATGGATAATAAGTTCTCTTTCACTAAAAGCAGAATGGGACACAGGGCCTTATCAACCATTCTGATCATTACAGAGCTTGGCTTTGAGAGAAAAATGACATGTATTTCATAAAATTGGACAATGAGGAGAGAAAAGCATGATTAGTTTGTAGTCTCTCTCTTCATGCTAGAAAAACAGTGAAGAAATACCATCTATGAAATGGGTGTTGTTAATCTAATGTTTTCTTCAAAGCTCTCTGAACTTCGATTGCTCCCAGAATTTATTAAACAAAAACTGACTAAGCCCTGTGTTCTGAAATTCTGACTCAAGAGGGCACAGAAGGACCTAAGTATATGAAAGTTTTAAGAAGTAGTGCAAATGATGTTTCATACTTAATCTCTGGGCCACATTTTAAGAGTGACATACATTATTATTTTTTTTTTTACCAATCATAAAACAGGCGACTCTAAGTTTTAGCATCTGTGCTTTGTTGTGATTTGTTGTATTGAAGCACTGCAGTTGGTGACGAAGGCTTGGTTAAAATTTGCGTCCTCTTACTGTATGAATTTTGTAGTTTATGAATCTTTTTTTCAAACAATATTTTCTTGTGTTTCTGGTAAAAGTTTATATAGCAATTTTGATTCACATTTTTCAGTTTCTACACAAGTTCATGACATAGGTTACATTGTTTACAATGTGTGAACGTTCTCATTTCCATTCTGTTTGCATTAATCTAGTTTTTTGTTTTTTGCCCTCTTGCATTTTCATCTTTCTTTTAAAGTAATTGTTCACTCTTTGGCTTCATATATTGTTGTTAAGTGCCATCGAGTCAATTCTGACCCATAGCGACCCTGTCTAGGGTTTCTGAGGAGCAGCTGGTGAGCTTGAACTGCTGACCTTGTAGTTCAAATGGCTTTGCAGTCTGGCCCATTAACCCACAGCACCACACCAGGACTCATATAAGTGGCTTCATATAAGTGGTATTATTTTTTAACCTATTTGTTATTTAGCTATAAAGTCATCTCAAGGATTAGTTTCAGTCCAAGGTTTTAAAAGTATTTTAAAGCAACAGTCTTTGGTAGTCCTCCTCGACCAGTTTAGTAAGCCTGTCTTTTTTTATTTTTAAAGAATTTGAGATTCCAGTTTTTTTGTTTTGTTTTTTTACTATTCTGTCAGCGTATCTCTTGTGGCCCTGATTAGAATGAGTTAGAATGGTAGCTGGGCTACATCTGTCTCTTTTGGTCTCAAGGTAGTTGAGGCTGTGGTCATGCAGACTATTTGTTCTGTAGGTCAGGTTCTTCTATGAGTCTTTGGTTTCCTTCTTTCTCTTTTTTCTCCAGATGAGTTGTTAAGTGATATCAAGTTGGTTCCAACTCATAACGACCCTGTATAGGGTTTCTTAGGCTGTAAATAAATCTTTAGGGAGCAGAAAGCTTCATTTCCCCCATGTCCCAGAGGAGTTATTGTTGTTATAGTTATGTGCCGTGGAGTCGATTCCGGCTCATAGCGACCCTTTACAGGGTTTCCGAAGCTGTAAATCTTTACGGAAGCAGAAAGCCTCATCTTTCTCCCACAGAACAGCTGGTAATTTCTAACTGCTGACTCTGAGGTTAGCAGCCTGATTCATAACCACTATGCTACCAGAGTCCAGATGAGTAGAGACCAGTAATTGTATGCAAGATGGCCACTCACAGTTTTTAAGGTCCCAATCACTACTCACCAAACTAGGATATAGAACATAACTTTATGAACTGTGTATTATGTCAACTGACTGAAATGTCTCAGAACACTATGGTTCTAATCCTTCAAACCCAGAAATTCAATCCTGTGAAGTATTTGTGAATGTCTAAAGAGTATTTGTAACTAACTATGCCCTCTGTGGTTTATTACAAGGATGAATATATGTGTGTAGATTTGTTGTTATTAAGTGCCTCAGAGTCAGCTTTGACCCATAGCGACACTGCATAGGGTTTCCAAGGAGCAGCTGGTAAGCTTGAACTGCTGACCTTGCAGTTCAAACTGACTTTGCAGTCCAGCTCATTAACCTCAGAGCCACACCAGGACTCCTTGTGTATACACAGGTGCATATACTTATGCACACACCTATATATACATACCTAGGATTGCTATGGAGTCCTCATGTGATGCTGTGGGTTAATGCGCCAGACTACAAAGCCATTGGAACTGTAAGGTCAGCAGTTCAAGATCACCAGCCACTCCTTTGAAACCCTATACAGGGTTGCTATGGGTTGGAACCAACCTGAAGGCACTTAACAACAACAACAACAACAACAACAGGATTGCTATGAGTCCAAACCAACTCAACTGACACTTAACAAGAACAGTATACATACCTATGGAGTCTGGGTGTGGTGCTGTTGGATAAGCAAGGTCAGTTTGAATCGCAAGGTCATGGTTCAAACCCACTAGCTGCTCCTTGGAAACCTTATACATGGTCATTAAATGAGTCAGAACTAACTCTACAGCAGTTAACAACAACAACAACATATATATATATATATATATATTGAGAGAGAGAGAGAGAGAGAGAGCCCTAGTAGTGTAGTACATTACCAGCTGGGCTGCTAACCTTAAGATCAGCCCCTCTGCAGGAGAAAGAAAGCTTTCTGCTCCCATAAAGATACACAGTCTTGTAAACATGGTGCTGTGGGTTAATGCGATGGACTGCAAACTCTGTTTGAACAGCAAGGTCGACAGTTCAAGCTCACCAGTCTCTCCTTGGAAACCCTATACAGAATCACTATGAATTGGAATTGACTCGACAGAACTTTAACAGCAAAAACCCCAATTCAGGGTCGCTGTGAATGAGAACCAACTCTGTGGCTCACAACCACCACTATTATACATATATATGTGGTTCTGGTGTGGTGCTCCTTGGAAACTCTATACAGGGTCATTATGAGTCAGTATTAGTTAGGTGGCATGTAATATACATATATACATACATACATGACTGTCAGGAATGCCTTTTAAAACGACAACTTTTTAGAGTAGGGCACTTTAAAAAGACCACATGAATATTATTTGACACAATAGCAAAGATAATTTAGATACAAGTTTTGAGAATACTTGTATCTTGACTTGACCTGTATGACTTATTTGCTCGTTTATAA